CCCCAAAACCCCAAAACCCCAAAACCCCAATCAAGATATCCAAGATTGAATAAGATGTAACATGAGTTATTACCCTCTTGTACTAATATTTATATTAACAAATCTGGTGCTAAATTTGAAACCCAACAAAGGATCAACATAAAATCTAGTCTTTTACTAGGAAAACGACAAAAAATGACCTCTAAAATTTAGAGAGCATTCCTAATAAATGTTGAAAACAACGCAAAATTTTCTTTGTTCTCAGAATTATATTTAAAAAAGAGTGTTCAAGGATCTTAACACTACAGAAGGCATAATAGTTTATATCAAGAATTAATGGTAAAACTTCAGTAAATCTTAAACACAAAGTTATAAAGTCGTGTTTTGGGGTATCAGATTCTATTTCAATTTACCAGATCGTTCCTCTGATATCTGATTCAGGATAAATATGCTAACTACTTTTTCAAATGTGACTCCTTTATTTTCTAGCTTACAAGGAATCCCAAAGTCTTGCTCATTACAACTCATTTATTTGCGTGTAAGAGTCTTTCTAGAAAGCTCTGAGACATAATCTTATTCGCAAAATCTCTAAATTTCCGTTCTATTTCTGAAAGTCGATATATCTTATTAATACTTTTAGGAGTGATTCATGATAAGTTTCTACTTAATACATGAATCAAAAGCATTCATATATTAAATTCTTGACAGTCTAGGCCAATCATTGGAAAGAATTTCCGATGGGATGAAAATTCTAGAGGTTGATCAGACCTTCATTGCAATAATGATGTTGATTTATATCTTTCCTAGAACTCGATCATTTTTATATAAAATTGAGCGGACTGATTTAGCAATTGAAATCTCTCCAAAAAAACCATCTTCATGTTTTGTCTGGAGAATGGAGTCTTCATCCTGCAATTTTGGATCCTCGAGACAGCCTATTTCTTCTTTTCTATCCCTATTCTACTCATCTGACGTTATTCCTTGCCTGGAGAATAACAAACTTTAAAAATTAATTTGTGACTCCTCTCTGATAAAACAGACCACAAATTATTAGTAAGTTAAAACCTGACAAATCTCTGAGATCTTACTGTATTTGTAGCTGAAGCTAACGTATGAGTTATTTGGGCAGCCTGAAAGTAAAAAATAGCAACTGAATTGGTCCCAGCCTTGCTAGCGTGAAATCCTTCATTCAGAATTAACACCTCGACCTCAGATTTGAGTTCCTCATTTTCAACCTTTTGTGCTGATTTCTATAACTACCAAGGTTAGTATATTTAAGAATTCCGACAGTCTAATAATATTTAAAATAATGCAAGCTTCTGCTAACTACCAAACCTCACATCTTCACGAGTAAGTAGCTTTCTTGTGATTTCGACATCGAAGATTTCTCCTAACTTATTGGCTTTTATTCATAATGTTTAGTGCATCTTCTGATAACATGGACAGACTCATATCGTCATTTTTCTTCCCTGAAAGTCCTGAGAAATCTGATAAATTTATGCTACCTGCTCCTGCCAAATCCAGATATGAGCTTCCAGAACTGAACTCGTTGGTTGGTATGGACAAACTCCCTATCGTGTTCAGCTATGAATGCAAACCAGTTCTACTCCCTCCTCAAATGAGTCTCTGAATACAAGAAATGGAGTGTCAAAATAAAACACAGATCTTCGAGTGCCCTTCATTTGGACAAGACCAAATTAAGGGAAAATTTCAATATGGGCACATCTTTGAGGTAAGAGATCCCTTCTGTGCAAATCTTTTCCTGAATCGCCTGAAAATTCAGAAAGTTGGATAGATTTGCAAATCTGATATTAAATTTTAAGTTTCTTCCTGATTATTTCAGGTGTCTAAAGCAAATTATAGAAACTCAATCTCAGCAATAAGTCTTGCCACTTGTCAACTGTCAAACTCTCCAAGCTTCCTACTAATTGTAAGCAATTTATATGTCTAACTTTGTAGTGTTTGATCAAAGTGAAAATTGCTCATTGCAAGAGCCAACCACTCTTAAAGAACTTCTCACTGACAAAGTAGTACCGAGGTGGATTCAATATATGCAGTTCAAAAACAAAAGGAGAGACGCTAACCCACTTCTCAAGCGGAGGGCTGATGCCTCTCGTAAGAAAGTCCTCAGAGACCTAAGAGAGTTTTATAGAATTTTGTTCAGAAATAGATTTCACCTTTCTGAGTATAAGATTCCAAGAGGTGTCCAGAGCTGCCTTAAAACCTTGTTTAGAGAATTGGGTATGACTGCTTCAGAAGAAGATCTCTCTGATTACCAGTTATTTAGATATTTACACCAGACCCATAAAGGAACTACAGCTAAGCTAGTGAACATGAAAACTCAACACAAGGAGTCCTCATTCTTGGCTGTTGAAAAGTACAACGATGGAAGATACTTGCAGTTTCTTTCATATCCTTTATCTGCTCAGATGATATACTTTGTGTTTGAGAACTTTCTGGAACAGTACACTTCACTGGTGAAGCCTAAGATCAAAGATAGAATCATTAACATCATAAAAGACATCCTTGGGTGCTACCACAGCTGTAAGGTAATCGGAGATCTTGCTCAGATAAAGCCTACTCTTCTCTAACCAATGTATTTCTTCACAGGTTGGTTTGTGGGCTAATATTCTTATGTTTCAATAAGCCTTAGCTATGCAGGGGTTTTGGGGTTTTGGGGTTTTGGGG